TTTGACAGTATTAAGGGAATAATGACAGCACGAAATTGTCTAGCCCTAGTTTTTTTATGGCAAAGATGAACTTTAAAAAAGAACCAAGGCTTAAGATTGTTGACAAGACAAAGAAGTTGCGGGCAAGCAGGGCAGTGTGGGTCTTCGGGGTTTGAATAGGTGGAGTATCTGATGGGGGAGAAGTGCGCAAACGAAGTTTCGACCGATTGGACCCCCTGGAAACAGAGAAGAGACCAGTCATGGGAAGAGAAGGGGCCTAGCAGAGGGAAGGGCACACATTTTTGACATTTGCTACCTCCCTTTTCCATTCTTGTCTTTCACTATCAGTCTCTCTCACACTATCTCTCTCTCCCCCGTCTCTCGCCCTCCATCTCTCTCTCTCTCTCACTCACTCTCGGTGAATACAGAAGTTTAGGGAACGGATGATCAAGTGAACAAAGTATAGTATAAGCCGGAAAGGTGATAAGCTCTCAAACAAACCGAAAAACAGAAAAACAGAGAGAGGGAGAGAAAGCGAGAGAGAGAGAGAGAGAGAGAGAGTGAGAGAGAGCCAGAGAAATACAGAGAGCTATAGAGAGAGTGATAGAAAAAGAGAGAGAGGGAGAGTGATGAGAGTGAGAGTGAGAGAGAGTGAGAGAGATATTGCGAGAGAAATGGAGAAATAAACATACTTTAAAAGTCTCAACCATAAATCCGTTCGGATCACAAGTTTTGGCCCCACCTCATGCCACACGCCCCCACCCCGACCGCGGAATCGAATTCTCGGAGCGGCCACAAGATTTTTTTGGAATTCCGCGTCGAAAATAAGATATTCTGAGTCAAGAAGTGACGTGATCAAAAATCTAGTATAAAAATCGCATCTAACTGTTTCTCGCTGTCTCTCTTGCTTTTTCTCTCTCTCTAGCTCGCTCGAAACTGACTTTAAAATATAGGAATATCACGTCAGAATCAACAAATACAGAATTCCGAGCTCCAAAAGAGAAAAGAGAGAAAAATGGCGATACGCCCAAATGCAAATCTTGAACCTTCGAAATTTCACGTCGAGGTCAGACTGGCGTCCGAATCCGGTATTTTTTGCGGTAGCAGACGGCCACGCCGGCCCCAAGAAAACTCAATTCCGGAAATGAGCCATCAGGAAAATCGAGGTAAATAGTGGCGCGGATGGTGCTGAATTTTGGCGAAAAGCAAAGATATACTTTTTCACGGATAGATCAAAGCACGCCAATCTTAATTATAACTAAAAAGTTGTTTTTAAAAGTTATAATTTTTTCAAAAAATGTAAAAATTGCATAATTGTTGTAAAAATCTCAGAATTCTAACAGAAACTAGAGCAGCTAATTTAAATTATTTAAAGATAAAAAATTTGAACACGTTTTTGATAGCGTAATATCTGTAGTCGGTTCAAAAATGGGGAGGTTTTGGAGAGAAGTAAGAATTTTCGAGATTCAAGGAATCAAAAAATTCATAAAATGTCAAAATTCCGGCCGGCTCCTCAAAACATGCCAAGCGACAACTGTCATCTCGCGTATTTTCCCGGCGATTCCGTAAGATGACAGGGAGAATATCGTGGGTGTGGTGGTGTTGCTTGGGAATATCCGTGAATCAGACGTGTTCCGGCGCCCATTTTTCCCTCGTGGCCCCCTGTGGAATCAATGCGAAACTCGCTTCCGTTCGTCTGATTTGCGCTTCCGTACTTTTTTGAGGGCATGGAAGAGAAAAACAAAAAAAAAGATCACTAGCATGATGCTCACAATTAAAGTGTGCGCTTATGCAAATTTTGCACGGAATCGTTGGTTTCAATTAATTTGAAATGGAAGCTTAAAAATTCCAAATGTTGAAAGACAAAAATGCAACATACAGCGATTAAAAACGGAATTAACGAAGGGCCGCAAATGAGCAATTGATGTAAATTTTTTGTAAAATTGGTGGGCTATTTGGAACTTATATTTTAAAAACAATTCTAAAAATAGCAAATGCGAAAAAGAAATCAAAACCTGATAACTCAAATTTATGCAAATTTTTACGTAGGGTACAACTCAGAATATCTAAATATACGTCTCGCTAATTAAGCTTTTCCTAAAGAAATGTAATAGCGCTTGCCAAAACAAATTCTGATTCAAATGACCTGCCCCAGATTACCGGCAGAAACCCGATGGCCGAAATCCCGACAGCCTCCTCAGATTGTCAAAATACCGACACGTCAAAAGTCCGACAACCAAAAAAAACGTGATCGGTGTTTTGCCTGTCGAGGTTCTGGCGTTCTCGGTCTGCCACTTTTGAAAATACATAAACTACAAGCTCCAAAGCGTCGAAAAAGCATTATCCAGAATTCCCAAAGCCAAAAAACAATGCAAAATGTAAGGCTGCGGCCGCGGGGATGATGGCAACACGTCGTTAAATTTTATGAATGCCTACGGCTGGGCTGAAGGGATGGGGGAGAGGTGTCCGATGGGTCTATTGGGACCAGGGTTGTTCACCGACGGACCCGGATCGGTAAGGATCCGGATCGGATCTGGATCCGGATCCGGATCGGATCCGCAGTAGGATCCGGATCCAGATCCAGATCCGGATCCGCTCGGATCCGGATCCAATGCGGATCCGAGGAAAAAAGGGACCGGAAGTAATATTCTCGATTCTGATGCTGATTCGTTCATGTTAATCGCAAAAATACATAGCCCAGAGGCAGAACTGATCTTTGCATCTAAGAATTAGCACTTAACTCGGTTGCATGATCCATTTACTTGGATCCGGATCGGATCGGATCCGCCGTGGATCTGGATCCGGATCCGGATCCTACCGCGGATCCGGATCCGGATCCGATCCAGATCCAGATCCGGATCCAGTCCGATCCGAAAATGACCAACCCTGATTGGGACTCATGTTTGCCCCCCTTTTCCCTTATGCCACATCTGGTCCCAAGGGTCATTTCTACGGCTAAAAAGTTGCAGTTTCAAAGGCCTAAGGCGAGGCGAGGCAAAGATGAGGGAACAGCGTTCAGCTATAAATACTTATTTGATCACACTTCCTCCTAGAGCTCAAAAAATGCAAAAAATAACCGGAAACATAGGGGAAAAACCTTGTTCCTTCTCCCAAAATCCGGCAGGCTCAAGCTTATCAGTCGACTGGGGCCGTCCAGGTCTATAAGAAGCAAAACCTGAGGGCAACTTGGGTGCCTAGAAGCCCTAATCAGTCAGCGAAATCAGGAATTGGCCGAAATATCGTGACGACCTGTGGGCTGGTATGTCATCGCAATTTGGAATGATATTCTGTAAGGCGATTTGGTATCTCGGCCTTAATTCGGTACTATCAAAGTCCCGTGGGAGAGAGAGAGGGAGAGAGAGAGAGCGAGAGAGAGCGCGCGAGAGAGAGAGAATGAGTGAATGAGACAGAGAGAGACGGAGAGAGAGTGAGAAAGAGATAAAGACAGGGAAAGAGCGAGCGAGGGTTAGAGAGAGACAGACAGAGAGTGAGGGACAGAAAAACAGCCAGTGAAACACGGAGAATAAGAGATCCAGAACGTCCTAGCCAATAAGTAATTTTTAAAGCTTTCCAGCGTCACAGACATTAACAAAAAAGCCAGATTTGCTCGGTGCCTGGAATGGCCCCCTACTATGGAAGCCCGGTGGCTCATCGGGGCGTGTGAATAATAAACTATTCTTTTTTTTCTCCTTGCTTATGTCTCCGGCCTCGGCCACAGCATGATGGGGCAGAATGAGAAAAAGCAAAAAGCAGACAGCGCCGGGCACCACCCCGTGGGGACGCCAAGAATCGGATTTTTTTGGGTCAGGTGGGGGCAAAAATGGAAATCCGGTTGTGTTCAGGTTGGGGCTAGCGTTATTTGTTTTTGGAACAAAACAGATATTTTCAAAAATGAAATGACGGTGCTTTTCAGATTTTTTAGGCCAGGATTTCGAACAAAAATTAAAGCACAGAAAGCTGATGTTTAAAACGGGCAGGTAAGAAAGATACATAAAGTATGCATAAATAAGCATTGTACCGTTAAATAAATTGATATTTTAATTTAATGGGTTGTAAATTACACAAAAGAATACCTATTGACGTTTGCTGTTTACTAGAGCACGCTTTAATCAGCTCTGTCATAATGATAACTTTGTCATAATCCATTTTGGCAATTTTTTATAATTTACATGCTAATTTTAGCCTTACTGAATGAGCTGTTCATAATATATTTTTAAAAATTAGCATGCCATAAATAGCTATATTTTCTAAAACAGGTCTGACGCGCAAAATTAGCCCAAAGATCCATCCCGCTGTGAATGATATTGTTAGGTATGGACGCAGCGCCTAGACAAAAACTGATTTGTGACATTCGCCGCATCCTGGAGAGCGCTTCCTGGACGTCTCACTGACGCCGGTAACCCAATTTTGCGCCCTGTGCCTAAAAGCTTTCATGCTCTCCTCACACCACCCCTTTGACGAGCTTAAGACGTCCACCGACAACAAACGTCGTCACACTAGTAGGTGTGGAAGTGGATAAAAATTATGCGGGGATTGATAATCATTTAGGAAAAGGTTGAATAGCAGGGATTCTTAGGGAATTTAGGACAACTAATCGTAGGTAACTTACCACACGCCATGAAAAATTAAATATTCTTATTGAGTGAGCTTGGCTAGCTGGGATTCCTGGGATCTTATCATTTGTGCCGTAGCTAGGGCTGCAACGAGAAATATGGAACGTGAAAAGGTAAAGTAGCGGGTATGCGTAAAGATTTGTATTCCTGGACTGTTGTCGATGCCTGAAGGCACCGATATCAATTCAGGCCTGCCACGGCCAGGCAGAATACAATGAGCTGAAAAACCCCAACCGAACTTTCACTTTTCGTATAGTTGGAATAAACGGCACAAATCTTCGGTCTACCCAAACTGCACAAGATATTTATTTCTATCGCTAAACTAGTAAAAGGGCGCTTACTACGACGCGATAAGTGGCGACCACCCCCCGGAAACGAAAGATAAGTCTATTTTCCATTCCCCACAAGATGTCCTCGGATGCTTTCCAAGGCTGGATAGAAGCACAATTAAGCGTGATAAGGGATGAACTCAAAACCTACAACGAGCAGAAACAAAAAACGCCCGACCTCACAAAACTGTCGTATCAAGACTTTGTCCATATCCGGGACGCTCTTCTATTGTTTGAGTCTAGCCTCACACAAGCGGTCGATGCTATTAAGTCCACCATCTCGGAGTGGCAACAATTTATCGAAAAACAGCGCTCAGCCGAACAAAAAACACTATTGGAGAATCAAAAGCTCTACTTCGAAAAAAGCCAAGTTTTTGCAACGATCCAAACCACGCTACCTGTCCTGGCGGAAATAAAACGTGCCAAGCTCAAGGTTTCGCAGCAACTGGCTGCCTTTGAAAGTTCATCAGAAGAAGATGCGAAAAGCACGGCCTCGAGCAAGCCCAACAGCCAGGCTAGCCAGGCCGCGCCTGTCCCGGCTCCTTTGTCCAGCGCTAGCAACTCCACACCGTTGCCTCCTGGATCACTTCCTGGCAGCCAAGCGTCATCGAGGCCCAGCACACCGATCGCAGCTACACGTCCTGGTACCCCTCCACCAAGTGCCACAACTGCGCCGACGACTGCACCAACAGCTGCTGTTGCGACTTCGCTTCCCACTCAAATAACGATCGTTCAACATGACCCAGTCCGAGCCACTGAACTCCCAAAATTCGATGGCTCCTTCCAAAATTGGCCGACCTACAAAGAGGCTATCGAACACCTCATCGAGCCCGCCTCCATTTCACCGGCGAGGAAATTTGCTTTGATCCGACAATCTGTGAGCGGCACGGCTCTATCGATGATCCAAGATCTACCCCTTACGGACGCTTCCTATCAACTTGCAGTCGAATCTTTGAAGAAAGCTTACGAGCTCCCCGGTAGACTAGCGGATGAGCTCCGCCACAGCCTTGTCAACCTGAAACTGGAACACGAACCTGGCCTCGCCGCCAAGCCGTCCGACTCCTTCATTCTATTGAACCGATTGCAGGGACTTCATCTTCGTCTGCAAAGCTACGACACCACCGTCTCGAGTGAGATTTATGCCCAGCTAATCCGCGAAAAGTTCTCCAAGAAATTCCAAGCCCGAGTCTTCAAAGACAAGACGCAGGCGAGCGTCCCTGGAACCCTTGCCTCGCTGCGTTCTGCCATCCAAGAAGAGATGAATCTCGACGCGGCCATGAATCAATCCCGTCCAGCCCTGCCAAGCTCGGAAAACAACTACCACATTGTTCACGGTCACAACCGTCGGCAGCCGTTTGCCCAGCCACCCCGACAGGCTCCAGTCATTCAGCCCAACACCGCGAACCCGGCCCATCGCGGGCAGCAACCGCGTTTTGGACGCCAGACCCCTGCGGCGATCTGCATCTTTCATCCGAATCAACACTCTCACACTACGAGAGATTGTCAGCTTGCCCCGGACGCCAAGCTCCAATTCGTCATCAACAATCAACGATGCTTTAATTGTTTAAGCCCGTCTCATGTCAAAGCCAACTGCCCCTCCCGACGACGGTGCCTTACCTGCAACCGGAGACATCACACAACGCTCCACAATGCGCGTTCTCAAGCGAACCCGCCCAATCAGAACCGGTCCTCCCAGCAGCCGACGACTCCGAGGAACCCTCGCGCCCCTGCGCGCCAACCAAGCAGCAACTCTTCCCCTGTTGCACCTGGACCTCCGGGCTACGCTCCCCAGCCCCACGGCCACAACCCGACCTGGCGCTCGAATCCGCCAGCTCCACGATCTTCCGGGCCTCACCAGCACACACACGCTGCAGTCGATCAGCCCGCTCTTGATCCGGTCGTCTCTTCCCCTGAAGACACGCACAACTTCCACAGCCAGACTCTGGCTCCCGAAAGCCCTAGCCCCTCGGAGCCCTCGGAACCTTCGGAACAATCGCTTCTACCGCTAATGACCATGAAGCTTGCCGACCCACAATTCCCGGACCAGACAATCGAGGCTGACGTCTTCTTCGACTGCGGCTCCTCGAAATCGTATATCCACACTGGGATTGCCGCCGATCTACAGCTTCCCACCCTCAAAATGGAAGCCTTTGCTCTCTCCACTTTCAACCAGCCGACTGCGCGTATCGTCGACCTCGCCAGACACCCACTCCAGCTCATCGGCACTGACTCCCAACTTCCCATCTGTGTCTCAGCGGTGGACCACCTCACCTCCGAGCTCTCAACCCTCCCCAGCAACCTTCGATCCGCCGCCAATCTGCCACGTATTCCGGAGAAGTTCTTGCGGCTTACCAAGCCCTCTCTTCTCCTGGGCAATGATTACTTCTGGCATATCCTCCAAGATGTCAAGGTTATCCCGTTAAAATCCGGCTTTTTCAAGGTAGTCACTCGCTTTGGTACCTTGATCGCTGGCCAGGGATTCATCGATGCCGCTCGCCAACGCCAGCCTATCTTCAGCGGTTTCTGCCATACGGCTTCGGCACCACCCCAGGAGGAGGAGGAGAGAAAAGCGGAGGAGACCAAACCCGCTGACACCGAAATCAAGCAACTGCTTACCCAGCTCTACGAACTCGAAGGGATCGGCATCACGGAGAATCCACAAGACAAGCCCATTGACCTGTTCCAGACCGTCATCCAACAGCTCTCTAGAGAAGCCGACGGCCGCTATGAAGTGAAACTTCCTTGGAAAGAAGCTGATCCCAAGCTCTCGCCGAACAAGCAGCTCGCCTACGTCCGACTGCAGCAAGTCGTCAAGAAATTACGACTCTCCCCAGAGACTCTACAGAAGTACGACACACAATTGCGAGATTACCTCAAGGCAGGAATCTGCGAAGTCGTCCATCCCGAGCTCGCCCACAACACGGCCAGCCAGCACCTCGACAGCCTCCTTCCACACCACGTCGTGGTCAAGGAGAGCTCGCTCACTACCAGCCACCGAGTGGTATTCGATGCCTCTGCCTCCCAATCCGGCTTCCAATCCCTCAAAATGTCTCGAAAAAGGGCCCAATATGCTGAGCCAAATGGCCGGCATCATCGCCCGCGCCCGGCACCCCGGAATCCTGCTCACGGCTGACGTTGAAAAAGCGTACCTCCAGATAAGCCTCAGTGAACCGGACCGCAACGCCGTCAAATTCTACTGGCTCAAGGACCTCAATGCCCCCGTCAGCCCTGAAAACCTGTTGCTCCTGCGCTTTCGGCGGCTACCCTTTGGCGTAATCTCCAGCGCCTTCCTACTAGCTGCGGTCATCACCGCCCATCTCGAAAGCTGCGGCACACCCGAAGCCTTGCAAATTCTTCGCGGACTCTACGTTGACAACGTGATCACCACTGCTCCCAACATTGCCAGTGCCCAAGCCTTTTATCAACAAAGCCGAGCGCTTTTTGCCGATGCTAAGATGAACTTGCGCAGCTGGTCTTCCACCGATGAGACTTTCAACGCCTACTTGAGAGCCGAAGGAGAAACCCCTCAAAAACGGCTCAGCATTCTTGGACTTGATCTCGACACCGAGAGCGACCTCTTCTGTATTGCGGTCCCCGAATACCAGCATCCGAAGAACAAGTCGCTGGCCACACGACGCAGCGTCCTCTCCTGGATCAACAGCACATTCGACCCGATGGGCTGGACCCTTCCCCTTTTCTTGGAAGCCAAGCTTTTCCAACGTAAACTTTGGGAGAAGCCTCTGGGTTGGGATGACCCGATCGATCCCATCGACAACGCCTCGTGGGAAAATCTCGTTGAAGCCTACCACAAGTCGAACTGGACCTTTCCACGTTCCTACTGCAGTTCCTCCACCCTGACGTCACCGTCGCTCCATATCTTCAGCGACGCCTCGGCCAGTGCACACGGCGCCGTTGCCTATGTACGAAGCAAGCGCCCCACCGGAGAATACGAAACCCGTCTGCTATTTGCCAAAGGACGTCTGAACCCTAAAACTGCGGTCACAATTCCGAGACTCGAATTGATCGCTTTCTCGAATGCAAGCGAAATGCTGCGTTGGATCCTCAATGAACTGGATATCTCTTTTGACGAAATCTGCCTCTACACCGATTCGCTGATCACCCTCCAATGGCTCCAATCTAGCCAGGACCAGACCACGTTCATTCGGAGACGGATCTCCAAGATTCTGGATTGCCCGCCGAATACTACGTTTCTGCACATCCGTGGCACCGAGAACCCCGCAGATCTGCTCACCCGAGGACTCAAACCCCAGGAGTTCCGCGAATCGAAACTCTGGCATCAAGGGCCCAGCTGCCTGCTCCAGCCCTCCGACGAATTCGACACTCTTTGCCGGCTACGAAGGCCCGATCTGGATCAGCCCAAGCCGAGCCCTATTCCGAAGATCGCCGCTCACCACGCCGTGGCGGAGCCCAACTTCTCCCCGGCCATCAAATTCAACCGCTTCAGCAGCTTCCGACGCCTAATGCGCACGATCCTGACCGTCTTGATGTTCGCCTTCAAATGCCGAAGCGCCAACAAGCCGCACATCCGTCGACCCGACGACGACGCTGCACTCCACAACGCCATCCGCCTCGCTCAGCTGGAGTGCCCTCCGACCCAAGACGACCGCCGGCGTTTCCGGATCGTCACAGATGGACCCACGCAGCTCCTCCGCTGCCAATCCCGTATCGACACCGAAGGCCTCGACCCCAACATTCGACACCCTTTTTGGCTGCCCAGAAACCACCACTTCACCCGATTGCTGGTCCTCCATCTCCATCAATCTACTCAACACAGTGGCGTCTCCTTTGTTCTTGCGGCCCTCCGCCAAAAATACTGGGTTGCACAAGCCAGGAACTTGGTCAAATCCGTCCTGCACAAAGATTGTCCCGACTGCCGACGAGCCCGAAGCAAGGCTTATCCGCTACCTCCGATGGCAGATCTACCCCCTAGTCGACTGCAGGCCGCGACTCCTTTCACCCACTGTGGAACCGACATGTGCGGGCCTTTCATCGTCAAGCAGCAGAATATCGATCTCAAAGTCTGGGTCAACCTTTTTTGTTGCCTCTTCTCACGAGCCACTCACATTGAGGTCAGCACAAGTCTGAGCGCGGAAGCTCTCATCCAGACCATGCGGCGCTTCATCGCCCGCCGCGGTAAGCCTTCGCTGATCATCTCCGATAATGCCACTACCTACCGAGCAATTGGCCCCATCTTTCAAAGCGACAAATTCCAAGATTTCTGTGCGGCGCACAATCTGGTCTGGAAGTTCATCACACCGGCCAGCCCGTGGCAAGGAGGCCACTATGAGCGAATGATCGGCCTTTTCAAAACCTCGTTTTTGAAAGCCCTGGGACGTGCCAAACCCAGCTACGATGATTTCGTCACCCTGGCCCACGAAACCGAGTCGATTCTCAACAATCGCCCTCTCGTCGTCATCCCTGCTGATCTGGACTACTATCCTTTGCGACCAATTGACATGATCACACCGAAGACTTGCATCACCCAGTTCCAAGCCACCCTTGAACCGCTCGACAACGACCAGGACTACAACCCGCTCCCGTCCACGAGAGACAACTTGATCCAGCACTGGCAAGCCCGCTCACAGCTTACTGCCCGCTTCCAAGGCTTCTGGACTGAACAGTATTTGCAAGCACTTCGGGAACGCAATCAAATCTTCCACAAAGCGAAAGGGCGCCCTCATCCTCTCCATCCCGAACTAGGGGAATACGTGATTATTGAGGACGACGGGAAGAAAATACATTGGACCGTCGGCGAAGTCATCAAGCTCATGAAGCCAATTCATGGTATTCCGTCTGCTGCCGAAGTCCGCACCCGACAAGGAACCCTGATCCGACCGGTCAACAAGCTCTTCCCTCTGGAGATCACGCCTCCTGGACCGGTCCAGCACGACCCCGTCCCACTGCCCGAAACCCCAGATGTCGACCCGGAGAGAGAGCCGACACGACTACGCGCCCCTCGCGCCACTCGGAACCCGAAGCCCAACTACATCTTCTTCGCCATGCTGCTCGGCGCCCTCGTCCAAATTTGTCAAGGAAAATCTGCAAAAAAGATCGACGGGGAATGCAAGCGCCTCCAGCACCTCACCACAGTCTTCCGCCCGCCATGTGGCCCCTTCCAGGATCAACTCGAATCTGTTTTTCTCGACGGCGCCCATCCCTGTTGGATCCCCAACGGTTGCGAGGCACCCTCGAATTCCACGACTCCAAATTCGGCGATTCATTTCTATTATCCGCCCAACGGCCTCTACGTGAACTGGACCCTCGAACACCGAGATGAAATCAGCGCCGCTATGCAATCCGTCCAAAAGTACAACGAAGACGTCTGCAGTTGGACACCTGACGACTCATGCGACTCAACCCGGATCCGCAGCATTTGCCCATTCGTGGTTTTGCCCGACAACAGCACCTACAGCGACGTCATCCTACGTACCCACACGGATCTTTACCCGCTTCTGACTACCTACCGATGTCTCAATGGCACCATTAATGAAGTTGATGGCATCAATGGAACTCCTCATATGTGCCGAGATCCGAAAATCCGATGCAACGTCAGCAGCGACACCTACTGTTTCCGCACGACCGGCCCAGTCACCTTTCTACTCACCGAAACTCTGAAGATTCCAATCATCAGCCACGGGCATCAAGTCTGCCACTACTACGGCTTCTTACGTCACGAATCCGACCCAACCTTGAAGTCCACAATCAGCTGCGACGACGACAACCTCCACGTCCACTTGCTCAACCCCGACATCTACACGAGCGTATACTACTGTCTGGGACACGTCTGTTTCTGGCGTAACCTCACCATACAATCGGCAGAACACGATATTTCGATCCCTACGACACTATTGCCACATCACCACAGCAATTTCGCGGCTACCGTCCACATTTGGAAACATCAACACAAGATCCTCAACCTCAACGTCACCTGCCCGGTGAACCCCTGTGCCGTTCATCACGACTGCAGCTTTTGCGCCGCCAAGCTACGCGACCTCAACGATTGCCACAACATCGCCGAGAAGTTCTTCATTATCTGGATTCTTCTCACCATCATCGGTATCGCCCTCCTGGCAGCCCTTCATCCGGAAATCCCTCAGCGACTGGGACAAGCCTGCCACCGTGCCAACATCGACAATCGACTCGCCGCTCCCTCCGGGGCCCAAATCAACGAATCCTTCAGTCCCGACGACGAGGACCATCCGGCCAGCCACATCGAGATGCAACCCTTGCCGAGTCGATCCGTCATCCGACCCACTTCCTTGCTTCCTGGCCCCTCCGCTCCCACTGATGCGCCGACCAACATGCCCGACCCGACCAGCGACCCACAACCTCACAAGAGCAAACCTCGACGAAGACCGTATCCCATCAACTACTCCACCATCTTCATCACGGTCCTCCCTCTTCTTCTACCCACCAGCCACGCCTGCGACGAAGTAGCACACATGTCCACCCGAAATATGGACTGCCAAATCGACAAAAGCGGCATCAAATCCTGCATCGTTTCGAGCAAGGACATGGTCATCCTGCCAGCCGGTCACACCGAGCTCTGCGTCAGCCTCAACAGCCTGAACAATACCGCCCGTCCGTCCCAACTTCACATCTCCTACGGCCGACTTCACTTCCAGTGCCACTCTCGCACCATGTTCTGGACAAGAGACCACACCTTCGAGACACATTCCGAGCGAAGATGTCGAGGGGCAGGAGACTGCTCTGATGGATACTGCGCCAAAGTGAAGCTCGACACCTGGCTCAATGATTTCAGCACCCAGGTGAACCGCGCTCCCGGCCATTCTTACTGCTCCGACGCCTGCGGCGGCATCCGATGCTTCTGCGTCTGGACACCAGCGTGCTTATTCTTTCGCACGATCGCTGTCAGTCCCAGCAACGAATTTTATCGTGCCTTCACCTGCACCAGCTACACACCCTACCTGCGCATCACTACGACCATTACACATCCTAATGGTACCAAGGACCGCCCCAGCAGCCGCAAACTCTTTGCCGGCAGTCGCACCCAGCTGACCAAACACCTCTACATGACCCTCGCCGGACAAACCTCACCCATCACCCCACTACTCGGGTCCCTCTTCCTCATGCGCGAATCGGATCGACGTATCACCCTACATCCAGCGCTACCATCCGACGGCCCTCATCCTCGACTCATCTCTCAACTCTACTGCACGAGCCTCGCCAACGCCAAAACAATGAACTGCCTCGTCACCCCCGACACCTGTCATTGCCGTGTCTCTCTCGACGTCGCGAGCTGCAACTGCCCCACGATTCCCCTTGCCAAATACTTCGAAGACCCCGAATTTGCCCTGCCGCTCGATGAAGAAACCACCAGTTTCCTTCCCGGCGATGACCACCACGCGATCGACATCCGTCTCAACTCCGGTACGAGCCTGCAAGTCTTGACCGAGTACCTCAATGCTTCCACCGAGATCCTCGCTGCCCATGCCGAATGCACCATCACCGCCGGACCCGTCCACGGATGCTTCGACTGCCTACACATGGCTTCAGCCCTCATCGATTGCAAAACTGATTTCTCCACCGCCATCGGATCTTTGCATTGCGGCGACCATCTATACACGATCAACTGCAATACGACGTCCTACCGCAATCAAATCCAGCTCTGGCACACCGAATCGTCGGTCGACCTTCCTTGCACATTTACCTGCAATGCCCGCTCAACACAAATCGCACTCAAGGGTACACTCCTCCAGCTCCCGCCACACACCCTCGTCAACCACTATCATGACGTTGCGATCTCCAAACCGGATCAAAACACGTGGACCAGCACCTGGAACAGCATTCGCAACTACTTGCCTTTCCTCGACCTGCTCACCAACGCATGGATCGGCATCGCGATACTTTTCCTCATCTTCATCGTCTTCCTCACGTGCTACTGCCAACCCCTAGTCACTCGTCTGCTTCCACACCGACCCCATCCGGAGACTACAACCACAACGATCATGATGCAGCCGCTAAGGAGTCCCGCCGAGCACAGTTGCTTGCCCCCGGAGGGCAGGCATTTCGACGACGCAATCCCTGCAGCTTCGCGGCCCGGAGTGTCGATGCCTGAAGGCACCGATATCAATTCAGGCCTGCCACGGCCAGGCAGAATACAATGAGCTGAAAAACCCCAACCGAACTTTCACTTTTCGTATAGTTGGAATAAACGGCACAAATCTTCGGTCTACCCAAACTGCACAAGATATTTATTTCTATCGCTAAACTAGTAAAAGGGCGCTTACTACGACGCGATAACTGTCATTAAGCCTATATCAAAAGCATCCAGGTAGGCAAATCGCTTTAAGAAAAATTGTAATAATCAAGTATAGAACCATGTAATCCTAGAAATTGTGAACCATGGAGATTTTTCTAAAAAAAATCACAAAAATTGCTTTTATCAGTACTATTATTGGCAAATTTCTATCATCAACGCTTCTGTTTGAATCACTCGGATCGTTAAAAATAGCTGATTTCGGAATCTAAAGCTTTGAGTTTAGCCGAAAATTTTTCTAGAACCCCAAACAAGGAACCGTTTAGCAGGGCTGCAAAATGGACTCCTCAAAAGGTCCGCTCGGATAGGGCATCCGTCTCCGGTAATCAGATTTTGCAACGGCTTGAAATTGTCTTGTGGAAAACTTCGATCCGAGTTGCGCCTTGGGCTGCTTCGTAGAGTCTGTATCCTTTATTGCCTTCCGTTACAATGTAGTGCAGCTCGGGTACCTTTTGACAGCGTAATCGGATGATAATTTCTTAGTTTTTAGATGGGTTTTTGCTGATATTGAGCGTTTGATAGGCGTTATTACTTGTTTTTCCCTATTTTTGTATAGCCTTAACTGCGCCTAGCATAAAAAATACCCCCGTGCAACTCACAAATTTGCATTCCAAGCCCGTCGCCGACCGATGCCCCGATAATTGGTGCCATTCCGAGGGCAGCCGCCGGCACCGAAGTCTTCCGCTTTGCCGCTTCTTGCGACGCTGAAAAGGGTGACCTTTGAACGTTCAGGGTACAAGATAGTTTGTTCTTACTGTATTCGAAATTAACGTATATTTTTTTAATAGTAACTCATGTTGTATTTTTATACATTTTTATGATATTAAATTATGCGGAATACTGCATCCTCCTACTAGTTTCCGCCATACCAAGGGTTTCTAAAAGTCAAACATCCATTTCCGGCATCCTCGCAGCACCAGATTAGCTTTTTTTGCAAAGCCTACCACATCGAAACCTCCAGATTAAAACCCGGAAATTCAGGATTTTCCCGACTTGGCGGATCAAAATACACTCAGTAAAATAACTATAAAGGCAGTGGTTTTTGTCGAATATCTCGGCGGTGTTGGCACTTATCGAGATACAATTTTGAGAATAGGCTTCTGAAGAGCCACTTGATATCCTGTACAAATCCGAATCAAATCCGTTCGTGGAAAGTCCGATTTTTGGCAAATGACGTTTTCGAAACTGTAAAATAACTATAAAGGCAGTCGAAAGAAATTCATTAAAAAATTCCCAGATTAGTTTCTTTGCAAATTTACAATACAATCATGGTTGCTAGACCGTTTTCTATTAAAAATTGTTTTCTAGCATTAATGGTAGCCCATTTTTTGTGATTCGACCCGCCATGGCTAGGCCAGCTGATGCCTCCCATCTTGTAAAGTTCTTTAAAAAATTTCCTTTGTCGGAGCACTATTCTGGCCGCGTCCTTAGCTTGGTTTGGGGCTCTAGTATTGTGGGCCAATTGGAAACGGCACCGAAAGCAGCCCAGGTGCTCGCGTGGACAAATAAGTAATGATATTTGTCACGGCGAAATTCGAACTCGAGGCTTAATTTCGCAACGGCTCCAAGAAGTGGACTATATTTTTGTTTTTAGGGAAATTATATGATGCTCTATGCCTGTCTGCTACTATATTTGCTCTTTAAAACACGTGGCGGTGACGAAAATTGACGTCCAAGGCGCCTGAAACTCAACATTATCGGGGGTGGCATCAGCGACAGCTCGGATTAACCTTAAGTTTTGTCGCCATGCTTCCCGGCCTAAATAAAAGCCATGTCAAGATTAAGAAACACGTAAACCACGATTGAATCGTAACTAGGACCGTAGGTTCGGCCGATCGGTGGATCCGTGGAACGCCTTCGAAATCCCCGATGCAAGCTCGACTCTCTTGTGTCTTTAATTTTTGTCTCCGAATAGATGCCAGCTTATAAACATTGCGTTCAGCTGCACAATTACATGGAGCAGTCGTCTCCAAGCAGCCTAAGTCACCCTGCACGAAAATTAAGAGTTCAGCTGGGATTTAAGCAATTTCTAGTCGCCTCCGCACCTGTGAGAGATTACATTATAGAATTGCCTCCGCTTTCTTGACGTTTCAAATTGCATTTCCAATTGGCCCACAATACTAGAGCCCCAAACCAAGCTAAGGACGCGGCCAGAATAGTGCTCCGACAAAGGAATTTTTTAAAGAACGTGACAAGATGGGAGGCAGCAGCTGGCCTGGCCATGGCGGGTCGAATCACAAAAAACGGCTACCATTAATGCTAGAAAACAATTTTTAATAGAAAACGGTCTAGCAACCATGATTGTATTGTAAATTTGCAAAGAAACTAATTTGGGAATTTTTGAATGAATTTCTTTCGACTGCCTTTATAGTTATTTTACAGTTTCGAAAACGTCATTTGCCAAAAATCGGACTTTCCACGAACGGATTTGATTCGGATTTGTACAGGATATCAAGTGGCTCTTCAGAAGCCTATTCTCAAAATTGTATCTCGATAAGTGCCAACACCGCCGAGATATTCGACAAAAACCACTGCCTTTATAGTTATTTTACTGAGTGTAGCAGAACTTACCGGGCGGGCCCGCGCTGAACAGGCGCACCAACACTCGATGGTCCAGGCTCATGCTGTCATTTTCCTGAAGTGTAGCAATTCAAATATTAATTGGCGTAATCGCGATGAAAAACGAAGAAGACAACAACAAGAATGACGCAGAAAGATGGAAACTAACAGAAAAGAGGGAATCTTACGATGAAAGTGTCGAATATCATTACGTAATCAATAACTCATAGTAATCTATGATTTCACACGCGAATTAATGGTCAGGGAATTCTTAGAAGAATAAAAAAATCGTTCTGAAACTGTTTGAACAGAAAAGCTTACAAAGAGTCGTTTTTAGGTGCTTTTGGAGTTTCGGGACGGGAACTAGCTAGTTCGATAGAGAAAAAATTCTGAGCAACATCCCGTTTTCAAAAAGTGCTGATCGATAAAGCTGTTTTAGAAAATTTAATTTAATTAAAAATGTTCCCGGTATCCGGACCCGTGTGGTGATTTGAGGTGATTTGCGGCGGCCAATCGCCCCCGCCACATGAGGACTTCACGCCCTTTGGATCTCGTCCTAGGCATGGCCAAGTGGCTAGTGCGATGGCCTACGAATTTTTTTTTTACCTTTTGCCACAAGTTCGATTCTTATTTATCGTTAACTCTTTGCTTTTTTGCTAATTAAAATTTTATGCACCGATAACGGGTTCAAGAACCAAAAAGCAAAAGGTTATCCAGCGCGAAGATTCGAACCCGAGGGCAAAAAATGTTAAAAAGTTGGTAGGCAAGCGCGCTACCAATACGCCAATGCAACCTGTGATGGAGGCATTGGCGGAAGGTTACGAATGGCGCTATGCTAAGCCCCGAAAACGTCGTGAACCGAGGAAATGGACCCGAAAAATAGAAAAAAGCGCGAACTTTAAATCAAATTTTCTAAAACAGCTTTATCGATCAGCACTTTTTGAAAACGGGATGTTGCTCAGAATTTTTTTCTGTATCGAACTAGTTAGATCCCGTCCCGAAACTCCAAAAGCACCTAAAAGCGACTCCTTGTTAGCTATAAAAATTAGTAGACGATATGGTACTTTTCCTAGAGCTAAATAAAAACAATAGCTAGAATTGTAACTTTTGCTGTTTTCCAAGGTGATTCAAGTGTCAAGCAAACTAAAATTTAGCCAATCCCTGCAGAAAACGTCCAAGTTTGCATCGGGAATCCTTCAAAAAAAAGTGCACTTCCAGATTTGGCCATCGCATGGGAGGCGGTGATTCGGATGGGATGTCGGCCCGCGAAGGCAGACGAAGGCATCGGGTGTGAGATTTACACGCACTTGAGAATGAATGAGGGGAATGGGGGATAGAGGAAGATTTGGCTCAATGGAGGGAGGACGAGGAAGACGAGGTGGAGAAGTAAGTAGAAAACCTAAAAGCAGAAGGAGAAGACGTGGCACGAGGAGGCAGGACGAGGAAGAGAAAAAAGGGAAACAAGTTCTATCTATACTTGCCCTTCCCAAGGCCGCTAAATGGATCTCACACCTCGTCTCATCCGGAGGAGTTCCGAAAAACAAGCTCAAAGGCATCTCCATGGATTAACAAGAGTATATATCGTCAGAAGCGACATCCCTTGCCTACTAGTATGTCAATAAACTACTCCTAAAAACCTTTCCAAAAAATTCAAGTCAGTCAAGTCAACTTCAAGTCCGGCTTGGGGCATTAGTGTAGGGTACTTTCCACGTTTTCTTAAAGGAACGAGGTAGGTTCATACTTGTCTACATCTCCGGGCATATTTTAAAGGATACTTCCTAGCACCTTTAAAGGGTCCTGAAAGCGAGGGGCAGCTGCTCGCTGCCACTAACGACAAGATTTTTGATAGGTCGTGAGTTTGATCGTGAGGAGCTTAAAAAATACGGTTAACAAGCTTATTGCCGCTGAACATAGTTATCGACACCTAGTCGATGCAGGGTCGATTTTGGGGCTTTTGGCTTTGGCGGTTAAACCCGGCTTTTTGTTTCAAAGAATGTATTTAAACATGATGAATGCAGAAAATGCAGAAAGGAGCTTAATTTACGTTGCTGAATTGTTTGTTTCTAAAAATAATTCGGTATTTTACGGTATCTTGTTTTTAGCGGCATTTCGTTCTTAACGCGCTCTCCTCTTCTCTCGTTTGGGCGGAGGAAGAAGAATCTCTCTTAAGAAAAATAGGAAAAGACTTAATCAAAACGAATTTTATGACAAATCACGTAATTCGTACCAAGACCGTCTACCTCGTCAGAATCCAGCTAAACGAATCCAGCCACCCCTTCCTCCCGATCCCAAAACGATGGGCGCCCAAAATGAAAAGGCACATGGGCAATGGCCGGGGCATAAAAGTGTGCAAAGAATGGCCATGGGAAAGAAGAAGCCGCGTGTTGCGGGAGACGAACGTTTCGCCGGCCCCTCCCTCGCTGCCGTTGCAATTTAGGGCGCCACCGGGGTCCGTTTTTGGCCGTTTTTTGGGCCGGCAATAACGCCGTAGCCCAGAAACGGGTGTGGCAATGGGGAATTTTGCCTAGTTGACCTCAATATGCTTCTTTTCATTAGCTTTTATGGATATAAAATTATCGAAAAATCGTGGTTTTAATAGGAAACAATATCTTTCGGAAAAACTAAAATTTTTAAAGTATCTGAAACTCGCGGAATCTTTAATTTAGATTGTGATTCACATTTTAGATGAAATCAGGTTCTTTGTCTTATTAAAAAGCGCAACAAACTACAAAATACAAAACTATCCAGATAAGACATGGCCGCTAGCAATCAACTTTTTATAGCTAAAAAAAGCATACCAAAAGTGTGTTTTAGTTGTGTGTTTAAACGCGTAGTGA